ATATATTTCAACACTCACCCAACTTTGGATATGGTCCCAGATTAGTGCTTCTCATTGATCACTCAACTTTAGAGTGTTGAACTGGTCACCCATCCAACTTTGGGGTGTTGTCATTTTGACTGAACTTCAAAATGCTTTTCATCTGTCACTCAACTTTAGAGCATTGCACTCCATCACCCTCTCGAGTTAAATGTTTCAACACTCACTCAATTTTGGATGTGAATACGAATTACTCAATGAATTTTAGAATGCTTCCCATTAATCACTCAACTTCACGGCGTTACATTTCAACACTCGCCCTATTTTGGATTTGCTCATGTCACTCACCGAACTTCAAAATTTTTATTTTTTTAATAGCTCTCACCGAACTTCAAAATATTTATTTTTTTAATAGCTCAATTTCATCTTACGAATCAAATATTATTAAACAATTTCTATACGATTATATCCCTGGAAAAAAATTAAGACATATTACTCTTTGCACGTTCTTGAGTTATGCAATTCGATTTATTATTATTTATTTCAAATCATCTAACGTTATCCAGGTCATGGGTGATCTTAAACCCTTATTTATTTATTGAGGAAATTACACAAAACCCTTCTTTTCAAAATCCATTTTCCAAAATCAGTTCATAAGTTTCAATTTTCAAAAATCAGATATTTTATATTTAATTAAATGTTAATTATACAATGTTCAACTCAACCCTAATTAATTTCCCCCAAACTATCTTCTTCCTCATTCTCTCCACAGCCAGCCTAACTCCTTTCCATCTCCCTCTTTCTCTCTTCGCCGCACCCACCCCCTGATCCGGCACCACCAGTCATTCAGCGGCGGCAAGGCGAGTGGAGCAGAAGTGCAGCGATCCACTGCTGTGCGTCGCACGACCACTGCAGTAACTTTCCGTCTCTCGACCTCCACTCTCTTCGTTATCCCTGCCTCTACTAAACAGTCACCACCTTTCCGCGGCGTCTCTCTACTAGCAGCGTCACTTTCTCCCTACCTACGGCGTCATTACAGAAGTGACGAGCGCCGTGGTTTTGGGGACGGTGGATTTGAAAATGGAGGCGGGGTTCACGGCGTTGCTGTGAGACACCTCTCTCTCGCTGCTATCCTCTCTCTCTTCGTCGTCACGACGATTGTGGGTATTTTTGGGGTTTGGGGAGTGGTTTCTTCATTCTCCTATCTTCTTAGGTTTCAGGTGTGTTTTGTGTGGTTATTGGCGATGGTGGTGCGTCTAATGGCGATGGTGGATCTGGAGGTGGAGGCGAGTTTTGTGGTGGCGAGTGATATGGCGGTGGCAGGGGCGCGATTTTGTGGTGGTAACGGTTGCTAGAGGTGCGTGTGGGTGGACAGCGCTTG